TGCAGGGTGCTGCAAGACAGGGCTGTATTTCTGGCCCGTTTCTTAGACATATGTCACCTGCTGACAGTGGGGGCTGAGCAGCTGCCTTGGGGGAGGGGAAGGGTGGTGGGGCTCCAGCCCTTGCCCACAACCCCCAGCACTGAGGTTGTCCGCGGTCCCTGAGCCCTTGCACCCTGGGGTGGAGACCCAGTGAGTTGAAACGCTCGGTCACGCCAGGTGGGAAGCTGGCCACAGGCCCTCCCTCTTGGCGTCGAATGGCACCTGCAGGGTGTGGGGCACAGGTGCAGAGCCACACCATGCCCGCCCGAGAGCCGACAGAGTGAGGGGAGGCTCGCTGGCCCGAGCGGCCAGGGCCTCCGGAGCTGCCATGTCCTTCCCATGCGTTGGCGTGAGGCAAGCCCGATCGGTGCTGTCAACCAGTGGAGACTGGTCATTTCTTTAATCCTCCCACCACGCCCACATGGCTCACCAGCCCCGTGCCCACTGCCTGCAGGGACTCAGCTTCCCCAAGGTCACCCAGCAACAAGCAGAGAGGACAGCTGCGCACCGTGCTGGCCACTGCCCTCGGCACCTCATCGTGCCTGTCCCCTTCTCCCCACTCAGGTCACTTGTCAGACTGCAGCCGCACCCCTCTTGCCCAGGACCCCGCCAGGGCCGGGGCAGGGCCCGCCGCAGCGGCAGACTCCTGTGGGAAGGCAGTGCAGACCCAGCAGCCTTGCTCCGTGCGGGCCTCCTTGTCTGCAGACATCTGCTCCGGCTTAGCCAGTGACGGGGGCGGAGCGCACGGCCCAGGTGATTCCCAGCTTGCCCGCCTCTGAGCATGTGCTAGCCGCGCAGGCCGTGTGGTGTAGAGGGGATGTGCGCTGTGGCCAAGGCTGCCGACAGCTTCTGAAAGACGCGATCCTAGAGGCAGCCTTTGAATGAAAAGAGTGGGTGGCCACGCCTCACAGGCTTTAAGTGGCTCCGAGGGAGGCATGCTTGGCTAGAGCAGCCTGGGGAGGGACCACTGAGGTCAGACGTGGCGTCTGCTGTGTGGTCTGTGCCGGGTGCAGGCGCCGCCCGCTCTGCCCTGCCCCGTTCCCTGCCACACGTGGGTCCAGAAGGGCCGCTGGGGGCCAGGGCGCAGCTCTGGAGCTGGGAGTTGGGCCTTGAGGTGGAATGGCCGTGGACACAGCAGCTGTGCGATGAGGCGCTTCTCCCACGCCATCTCTGTGCAGAGGCGTGGGGACCACAGCCCCTCCGGTCCCTGCCCTGCCCCGCACGCGCTCCTGGGTCCGCCTCTTCCGCTCCAGCGCTTCCTCCTTTCCATTCTGTGGCCGGTGGCTGTGGTCCTCGGGGCTGGGCTAGGTGCAGCCGCGGACGCTAGGTGGCGAGGCTGAGTGGCTGGTGGTGCAGGCGGCAGCCCGAGACTGTACTTGATGCCTGTCTCTCTGTTCTCTTCCCTCTATATTCACTTGCAGGCTGGACGGTTTACCACCCAACGTCTGAGAGAGTGACCCATAAGTCTAGTAGCAAACCTCGCGCTCGATTCCTCAGTGGACCCGTGTCTGTGTCCATCTGTCTGTATTTGTTCTTTTGTATTTTATCACCTCCCAGCCCTTGGTTCTCCCTCCCCTCTCCCTGTCTCCATCACCTTCCATATGCTTTATAGGAGCCTCCCCTACACCATTGACCTCGTTTATTTAATATCGAACAGAGCCTCGTCCACACCCACCCGCCTGGCCCCAGAAAGCACGGTGCATGCTCGCGGCTCCTGCCGGCACCGGCGCACGTGCAGCGGCCGCCTGAGCCCACGCAGACCCGCCCCGCCCCCAGGCCGCTCTGCACTTCTCTTGTCACTTTGTATTTTTTTAACGTTGGACGTACTTTTACTTCTGTTGCGATTGTGGCAAATCCACACGTCCACTGTCCCCAGTTCCAGCAACAACAAGACAGCCGGCCTTCTCTCCATGCATGCATGACGTGCTTCACACGTGTCTGGACGTTGAGGACATGCATGTGAGCGAGACAGTGCTGGCAGGTCACCGTACAAGGCCCGTGTCACAACACCCAGTAACCCCCACCCCCTGCATGCAGACATGCTGAGCGCGCACGCCAGCTGGGCCACCCAGCCCCTCCCCTCTGCTCGCCCCGAACCTCCCAGCCCCGGGAGAGCTGGCCCCCAGCCCCTCTGGGGTCTCTAGCGCCTGCACTGCACCTGGTGACTCCCCCTCGCCTCAGGGCCAGCGAGGCAGCCGGCTGTGTGGCCCACAAGCCCCGTGACAGCACTCAGTCCCAGCCGCCCACACCCTGGTGCCCTCCTGCGACCAGGACGTGTGCCCAGGAATGGGGCACCTGCTCAGGGCTCTCCCAAATTGTTTCTTATTCCTCAGATGGATTGGCAAGTGAATCAAAAGCTGTGGGCTTTTAGATTTTTGTTTTTAACAGAAAAATTAAGCTTTTTGCCAGTTAGATTGGACATGCTGGTTTGGGGCGTGTGGTCTTTTGCTTGTACAATAAAGATACATTGTGCTTGCTGGGACCTGAGGCCACGCCCACAGGAGGCACCCATCCCCCCCCAGAGGGCACGGCTCCTCCCAGGCAGCGGGCGGGTCGCAGGCGGGGACCAGGGAGAAGGGCCCAGGGACCGCCCGGGCGCTCCTTGCTCAGGACAGATGCAGGTTCAGCTTGGGGGGCTCAGGCTGCTGGTCAGAGGGGGGCCAGCTCTCTGTCACTCCTCTGCCTTGTGCGTGGCTGCCTGGGAGCTGTGGTGTGAGCACACCTGGGTTCCCGGGCATCTCTGTGGGAAGTGCCTGCCAGCAGGGGCTTCCCCGGGGCGTGGAGGAAAGCCAGCTGGGAGCAGCACCGGCCTCAGGCCATCACCACTTTCCCTGCAGAGCCACCTGGTTCTGCTTTTCTCTTTTAGGGTTTTCTCTTTTTTCACTATTTATTGTTCCAACATAAAAGAAGAATTTGAGGCCTAGCAGGGACAAGGAGATTAGGCTTTGCTTCCGCCCTGGCCCGGAGGAAAGGAATGTGTGAGGCACAGCTCGGTGCAGACCCGCCTGGCGGTGGTGGGTTTCAGGTGGCACCCGCTGCCTGGTTGGCCTGCTCCCTCGGGTGCTGGGAAGGCGATGACTCTGCTGTTTGCACAGCCCAGCCGGCTCTCAGGCCGTGAAGTGGCCCGCTGGCTCTGAGGCTGCGGTGAGCAGGGTGCAGCCTGCACTGGGCATGGAGCCGTGAGCGCCCCTGCCGCTCTGCCGGGGCTGGAACAGCCAGGACCCCTCCCTTCGGTCCTGGTACCCACCGGCCCTCGGCTCTTGGAGCTCCTGTCTGCAGGTGCCTGGTGTCCCAGGCGCACACGACAGGGGCGGGACATGGGTCTGGGAGGGCTGAGAGGTTGGCCACGGGGAGGCGGAGCGGAGCTGGAGTCAGGGTTGTGGGCCTGGCCTAGGCCGGAGGGAAAGCAGAGAATGGTCTCGGTTCCCCCTCCTGAAAGGAACAGGAGACAGGTCTCTGGGAAAGTCAACTCTGTGTAAAGTTCTGAAGCACAGAGGCCCCAGGTCCCCTGGGACTCAGAGATGAGAGAGGTGGCTAATGGGTGGTGGCCCCGCGGAGCTGTGGGCAGTGCCAGGCGCTGGGAGGCCTGGGCCGAGAGCAAGGTGGGCACAGCCTCAGCAGCTCAGGTGGGCGGCCCTGAGCAGGGCAGACCCTGCTGCCGTCCAGCTGCTGCTCATCCTGCAGGCCCCCTGCCCAGGTGAACGGCTTGGGGCGGCCGGGGCGGGTTGCGGAAGTGACGGTGTCCTGGTGTCCTGTTGTCAGCAGTTGTCAGGGAGGGGTCCTGGCTGTTCCAGCCCCAGCAGAGCGGCAGGGGCGCTCACGGCTCCATGCCCCAGACAAGAGGGCCCAGCACAGGCCCCACGCTCCTCATTGGCCCTCCTGCCTCGGCTCCCCCAGACCAGAGGCAGGGCTCACATCCTCCGGGACTCGCTCTGCACACGGGCCGGCGTGTGCTCCGTGCCTTCGGCCACGTGCCCGGTGTCCAGGCTGCAGCAAGTTTGTCTCTGGGACCCGTGGCCCCTGTGCAGACCCCGAGGCCCGCCTGAGCCTGGTGTGTCCCTCCTGCCTCCCTGTGAGGACCCGCTGCGGTGGGCGTGGGAGCGGGCCCAGGGGGACCGAGGAGGAGCGCCTACATGCGGCCCCCGCACCTTCACTCGCGCAGGTCGAACTGGTGAGCGCCGGCCCCGCAGGCTGTCTGAGGGGCCGGCCCCTGTGCTTGGGCCTGTGCGTCCCAGACAGGGCTGCTGGGTGAAGCCCCCTGGGCAGAGCCGACGCATCTGCTGCCCAGTTTCTGCTCCACAAACCAGTTTTGGCACTTTGCTCAGCTTGAGAAGTTGGTGGCTCAGTACATACTAGTAGACGCCCAGAGCAGGACCGTGGTGCTGTCCCGTTTTCCTCTCTGTGCAGAACCGAGTGCGTCCTGCTGTCGGGGTGCACGACCCCTCAGCGACGTGCCTCATCGTGGGGTGGGGAGCCCCGCGGGGCCCGGCCCTGTGGCAGCATGTGAGCACAGGGCAGAGGCAGGTGTGGGCGTCTGTGGGCCTGGCCCATTTATGAGTAGCAGGCACCCTCAAGTTGGAGGCATCGCCTGGCAGCCAGCCAGAGGCCGGGAGAGGTGGGGGCAGGTGCCCAGCAGGCACCCAGCCGGCTGGCTGTCTACGCCAGGAGCAGCCCCTGTGCCTGTGCCAGGGTGAATGTGGGGCGAAGGCGGGCCGCTCGGCACCCCTGCAGCCATGCGCCGCATAGGACAGACTGCACGGCCTCCATGCTGCCCTCAGGCAGGAGAGCAGCTGTCCTGCCCACGTGGACATTCCCGCGTGTTCTGGGGCCTGGAAGCTGGCTCGTCTCTTCCCAGGGCCTTGGCTGAGGACAGAGTCCTGCCGGGGACACCCCACTCCACAGGAAACTGGGGGCGGGGGGGAGCTGGTCTGCTATTCACCCTTATGCCCCCGAGGCCGCCTCGGGCTTCCTCGTGGGGCCTCTGTCAGCCCCGTGTGGTTCCTGGCGCCCTGCATTGCTGCCGAGGCCTTGTGGGTGGGAGCCAGGTGCACCGCAGTGCAGGGTCCGGTCGCTTTGGTGAGCATCCAGGGCAGGCGCGGGCAGGCGCGGACCCTGGGAGAGGCTGAAGGGGCAGGGCTGTGGGCTCCAGCACATGGTGGCTGCTCTGCCTCAGCCCAGTGGCGTGAGCGCAGAGCATGGCCGGACAGGGCTGCTTTGTGTTTGAAGGTCAGTGGAGGGCCTGGAGCCGCTGTGCTCTGGCTTTCACCGGCCTGTGTCGGGTGTGGGGTGGGGCCTGCGTGGCTCTGCACCCTGAGCAGTGTTCTGGTGGCCGCCCCGGCCCTGGGTTTCCGGTGAGGTCAATCTGGGCTTTCACGGAGGGCCCTCTGGGGGTCTGAGCAGACACCTGGCCGTGGTGGCCGTCACACGGAGGATGGGAGCCAGCCCTGCCCCAGAACTCCGGCCGGTGGCCCCGCGGCCCGCTCAGAACTCGTTCGGCTGGAGACCCGGCTGGGGTTTGTCCCATGTTCTGGGTCACCGGTTGGGGCCTGCTGCGGTCTAGACGCTAAGGCTCCCACCCCAAGAACGTGACGGGGAGCATGCAGACAGGCTCTGGGTGGCCACGCGCCCTGCGGCCCCGGAGGCCCGTGGGGAGCACAGATGCACAGGCCCTTCAAGGCTCTCCGCCCCCCGGGGTGGGTCTGGGTGCTGCTTGTCCCTTTGCTTTATGTGCTCGTTAGAGACGGCAGGATGAACTGAAGAACAGGCAGATGGGGGCCCAGTGGCTGTCCTGCCCTCACTCAGGGCACGTGGCTTGCCTTCCTGGGCTCGTGCTGGGGGCTGCAGCGCCTCCGGGAGCGGCATGGTTGTGCGCAGGGCCTGCTGCTGTGAGGGCCGTGGGCAGGAACCCAGACCCTCCGCTGGCGCAGCCTTGCTGAGTGACCTTGGGGATGCCGAGCCCCCTGCCTGTCCCACCTCAGCTCCTGACTCCCGGAGTCCCTCCCGCCCTGTCAGGACCCGCCCACACTGAGGTCAGGCTCTGGGACCCCAGGGCCGGCAGCCTGGGGCGGGGCCTGGCCCTGCCTGCTGGGTAGGAGATACCAGACAAGACCCAGTGGAAGAAAATCGTCCCTGCCTCTCCCACCCTGGACAGGACCCTGCCTTCCCTCCTGCCCGCGCTGGCCTCAGCCCGCAAAGCAATGTATCTTTTTGCACTTGGAAAACCCCATGGCCCAGGGGCCAGGTCGGCTCCAGAGCCAGCGGCCAGGGGCTCCCAGAGCCAGGTGGTGAGCTCTGCCCTTTTCTTGGTTTGGTTTTCTTTTCTTTTCCTTTTTGGAATATGTTTCTAGAGATACACACTCTTCTCTCTGAACGTGGGCTTGGCCTGCCCCTCGCCCTCAGCGAGCGTGCGGAGCTGCACCCCGAGCCAGGGGCACCCTGAGCCCGAGGCCGTCCTCCTGCTCCGGCCTGCTGGCCAGCGCTCCTCCTCGCACACCGATGACCTTCGCTTAGAGTGTGGCTTGTCCCGTGCTCCTGTCTGGCCTAACCCTGTGGTCTGTGTCGTTCTCTCTCCCTTGCAGGGTCTGCCTTGAAGCGTCTCTGTCTAGGCAAAGAGCACAGCAGTCGTAATTATCGGTTTTTCACTCGTCCGCTCTCCATCGCATGGCCTTTCTTGTGGCTAGTGCCTCTTGGCTTCCGCGGCCGCCTGGAACCACAGGGCTGGCGGGCAGGCAGGAGTGGGCCTGCACTGTGCCCGCCCTCCGTGGGCACCGCTCACCACTGCCTGGTGGGGCAGCCACTGGCGGTGCCCCTTGGCGTCTCTATGGGTCTGAGACTGTGCATTCCAGCCAGTTCACATCTAACGGGCTGTCCTCTGGAGCATCATACATTACCAACCGCTGATTGGCTCCTTTTCCAAAACCGCAGGGAGGAGTACTTCCGTGAGGTGCTAAGGATAGTGCCAGAGGAGGGTGCGGGCCAGAGCGGGACCAGCTACCTGGGCTGCCGCTGCTCATCTCACGCCGTTTTTGTTTTGTTTTGTTTTTTTCCTTTTTTTCTTTTCTGGCTGAAACATTCATGTAGATACAGCTCGTGTGTAGAATCTCATTACTAACATATAACTGTCGTGTCTGCTTTTTGTTGCTAGACACTAAAGTAGACTACATTTTGCAATAGCTTGTTTGAAGAGATGGTCATTAGGTTATTTTTAAATGCAGAACTTTAAAAAAGTGGCCTATTCAAAATTGCCAACCAGAAATTATATGTTGAAGAAAGGGAGGGCACAGCATTTTTTTAAAGTAAAACACCCTGTTTGGGTCATTTAAAACACACCTTCTAGTGCCATGGGGAGGGCCGTGTCTTTGCCCAGCTCTCCGAGCCTCGGCCGGGCCCCCGCAGCCTGGCTCCCGCTCCAGCTGCTGGTGGCAGCCTCAGGTGGCTCCCAGATGGCGGGCCCATTGCGGGTGGAAAGCTCTAGGCTTGTGCCCTTTATCAGCACCTCCCCCAATGCTCTGGCGAGGAGAGGTGCAATTTCTGTGTCTTAAATTCAAACACCAAGCCACTGACGTCACAGGAATGCCAGCGATCCACCCACAGCAGCAGCTGTGTGCCCAGAGCAGCCCCTTGGCGTCCTGATGTCAGCTGAGCGTGCAGGGCCCGAAAAGGCTGCCTCCCGTCTGCGCCAGGGGTTTCCTTCACCAGCTCTCCCGGGTCTGGCAGGCCGAGCAGCGCGGGCTCAGAGTGGATGCTGCCTGAGGCTGCGGCAGCGGGCCCTGCCCCTGCTGGTTATGAGGGGGTGACGGCCCAGGCCCCTGTGGCCTGGGAAGCGCTTCACCGCGCCCACAGTGGGCACGTGGGTTCCTAATCAGACCATCTCCTGAAGCAAGGTGTTGCCTGGCCTGCGCGCGACCATTGAGTGATGCAGCTGGCCCTGTTGCTGGTGGCGAGGCCGCCAACGCTGCCTGTGTGTGCCTCCCCAGGGTCCTCCACCAGCAGCCTGGCCCCGGGCCCCGAGCCGGGCCCTCCCGCCGCCCTGCACGCCCAGGCGCAGGTGAACAACAGTAACAACAAGAAGGGCACGTTCACGGACGACCTGCACCGGCTGGTGGACCAGTGGGCCAGCCAGACGGCGGGGGCTCCACAGCTGAAGCCGTCACTCAACCAGCTGAAGCAGACGCAGAAGCTGCACGACATGGAGGCGACAGCTGGCTGGCCCCCGGCCTCCGGCGAGATTCGGGCTGTAAGTGGGGCGTGGCGGGGTCAAAGGGACAGGATGGCAGCCGGGCTGGGACCTCAGATTTCAGCAGAGCAGCAGCTTGCAGCCTGGCATGGGCACATCTAGGTGGGCTGCTCCGGGTCTGGTGACCTCAGGCTAGAGATGTAGGGGGCCTGCACACTGCCCTCAGGGACACCCCTTGTTGGGCTCGGGTATACCCGTAGCAGGTGGGCAGGAGCCGGGAGCTGGTGGCTGACCTTGTCGCGTGATGCGTTCCTGTGTCGGAGCTGTGTGTCTGCCCTGCCGGAGGAGTGCTCCCTCTTCGTCGTGTTCCGGGGGAGTTTGTGCAAGATGTGCTCTTTCTGAAATGTTTAGCAAAGCTCGCTGGGGACACTGTCTGGGCTGGAAGTTCTTTTTGAGTGTGGGAAGGTTCTCCTATGACCTTTTATTTTGAAAAATTTCAACCACATGGGACAGTTTAAAATTCTGCAGTGACCTTTCGTGTGCCTCCTGCCTGCACGCTGTGATTGACTTTTTGCTGTTTTTTATCCCAGGCCTCCATCCCATGAGGGTAAGGTTTCATTAATGGATTCCATTTCTTTTATAGTTTTAGTACCATGTGGAGTTTCTCTTTCTGTTAAACTCTGCTTTTCTAGCAGTTGGTACTTCTCTAAATTTATCGAAGTTTTCAATTTAATTGGCATTAAAGTTCATAACCTCTCCCCCGGTCTGCAGCGAGGCAGCTGTGCACGCTCCCTTTCTGTAGGGCAGTGATGGCGAACCTATGACACGCGTGTCAGAGGTGACACGCAAACTCATTTTTTTGGTTGATTTTTCTTTGTTAAATGGCATTTAAATATATAAAATAAATATCAAAAATATAAGTCTTTGTTTTACTATGGTTGCAAATATCAAAAAATTTCTATATGTGACACGGCACCAGTTAAGTTAGGGTTTTTCAAAATGCTGACACGCCGAGCTCAAAAGGTTCGCCATCACTGCTGTAGGGTTTATGAACGGCATTCGCCTTTTCAAGGAACTCTTCTTGGCTCTGATGATATTCATTATTGTATGTTTCATGAATTTCTTCCTTTTATTATTTCTTTCCTTCTATCTTTAGGTTGTCATTTTTGTTCTAGAACGTTTCTTGAGATGTGCAGTTCATTGATTTGCAGCCTTTTTCTCTTATAGCACAGGCTTTCGGCTGCGAAATTCCCTCTAATTATTTTAGCTGCAGCCCAGGTAGCATTTTCTTTGACCTTCAGTTCAAAATATTTGCAATTTCCACGATGATTTTAAATACTATAGTTATTAATTTCCTTGTGATCTTTGTATTAACCATTTATTTGTTTTGTTTTGTTGGGTTTTTTGCCTAATTGAACTGATGAGATTAAACTTCAGTGATTTCAGTTTGTTAAACATTGCGGGACTGACTGTCTGACCCAGGCTGTCAGTCTTGGTCACTGCTGCGTGGAGGACGGAGGCCCGCCCCTCCCATTCCCTCAGAGGGCCACTCCCAGCCTGAGCCTCGCTTACTTCTCCCCTGGCGCCAGCAGCACCTCCGGCAGGCACACCTCTGTCAGTCTGACTCCTCACGTCCATTCTCCCTTATTCTGCAGCAAAGCTGAGACCCTTACCATGGCCCCAGGCCCTGCGGAGCCCACACCTGGACAGGCCGTCCACTCCGCCGCTGGCCCCACGCTGCTCAGCCTGGGCCCCGCCTCGCCCTCCCTCAGCTGCTAATCCTGCTGCTCAGATGGCTGAGATTCTTACTAATGGTTTTGTTTGTTTGTTTCCTTATTATTTTTTGTGATAAATCTAAATAACAAAATTTACCCATTTAATCATTTTGAGTGTGTGATTCAGTAGCATTAAGAATATTCAGCCCTACCCGGTTTGGCTCAGTGGATAGCGCGTCGGCCTGCGGACTGAAAGGTCCCAGGTTCGAGTCCGATCAAGGGCATGTACCTTGGTTGCGGGCACCTCCACAGTGGGAGGTATACAGGAGGCAGCTGATCGATGTTTCTTTCTCATCTCTCTCCCTCTCCCTTCCTTTCTGTGGAAAATCAATAAAATATATTTTAAAAAAAAGAATATTCACAATGTTGTACAGCCATCACACTGTCCACATCTAGACCATTTTCATTATCCCAGACAGAAGCGGCTCACCAGAAATAGCCCTGCGCCGGGCCTCTGGCTGCCCAGCCCGTAAATCCCCTTCTGCTTCCTGCTTCCACGCGTGCGCACGGCTGGCACCTCATGGACGTGGAGTCACTTAGCATTGTCCTTTCCGTCTGGCTTCCTCCACTTTGTGTCTTCAAGGTGCATTCGTGTTTAGCATGTTTTAGAACTTCATTCCTTCCCCTAATTTTTAAAGACTGTGGTGAAATACATGTAACAACATTTGCCATCTTAATCATTTTTAAGTGCTAGTTCATTGGCATTAAATACATTAATATTGTTGTTCAACCATCACCACCATCCCTCTCCAAAATTGGTTTATCTTGCACAACTGAAATTCTGTACCCATTGAAAATAGCTCCCTGTAGGAGCACCGCCCCTGGCAACCACCATCTACCTTCTGTCTTTATGAATCTGACTACTGTAGGTCCAGTCCCCATATAAATGGAATCATACAGTGTTTATCATTTTATAACTGGCTTATTTTATCTTGCATAATGCTCTCAAGGTTCATCTATATTGTAGTATGTGTCAGAATGTCCTTCCTTTTTAAGGCTGAATAATATTCCATGTGTATATACCACATTTTGTTTATTCATTGATCCATCCATGGACACTTGGATTGCTTCTACCTTTTAGCTATTTTGAATAATGCTGCTATGAACATGTTTGAGACCCTGCTTTGAGTTCTTTGGGGTACATACCCAGCAATGGAATCACTGGATCACATGGTAATTCTATTTTTAATTTTTTGAGGAATTGCCAAATTGTTTTTCACAGTGGTTGAACCATTTTATGTTCCCACCAACAATACACAGAGGTTCCAGTTTCTCCTCATTTTTGTCAATAGTTTCTATAGTCTTCTTTTTTAAATGGTAGCCATCCTATTGGGTTTGAGGTGTAGTATCTCATTGTAGCTTTAATTTGCAATTCTGTAATGATTAGTGATGTTGAAATGTTTTCATGTGCTTATTGGCCATTTCTATATCTTCTTTGGAAAAATAACAATGCAAGTCCTTTACCCATTTTAAAATAGCATTGCTTTTTTGTTGTTGAGTTTTAGGAGTTTTGTATTCTGGAGATTAATACCTTACCAGACATATGCTTTGCAAATATTTTGTGTCATTGTGTGGGTTGCTTTTTTACTCTGTCAATAGTGCCTTTTGATGCACAAAAGTTTTTAATTTTCATGAAGACCAATTTATCTGTTTTTTTCTTTTGTTGCCTCTGTCTTTGGTGTCATATCCAAGAAATCATTGCCAAATCCAATGTCATGAAGATTCCCCTATGATTCCTTCTAGGAGTTTAATAATTTTAGTTCTTATGTTTATCCCTTTAATCCATTCTCTTGTATGTGGATATCCAGTTTTCCTAGCAATAGTTGTTGAAAAGACTGTCCTTTCTCCATTGAATGGACCAGGCACCGTTGCTGAAAATCAGTTGACCATATGTGCAAAGGCAAATTCTGTATTCTCTATTCTATTCCATTTGTCTATATGTCTGTCCTTTTGCTAGTATCATACTATTTTGATTTCTGTAGCTTTATGGTAAGTTTTGAAACCAGGAAGTGTAAGTCCTCCAACTTTGTGTTTCTTTTTCAAGATTATTTTGGTTATTTGCCATCCCTCGAAAATCCTAATGGTGTGTGTGTGTGTGTGTGTGTGTGCGCGCGCAATGTACTTTAGGATGGTTTATTTATTTTTTTGAAAAAATGCCATTGAGACTTTAATAGTGATTGCATTGAATCTGTATATCACTTTGGGTAGTATTAACATATTAAAAATACTAAGTCTTTCCATCCATAAACATGGGATGCTTTATTTGTGTCTTTCTTAATTTCTTTTAGCAATGTTTTTTAGTTTTCAATGTGCTACTCTTTCAACTCCTTATATTTACCCCTAAATTTTATTCTTATTTATACTATTGTGAATGTATTGTTTTCTTAATCTATTTTTTAGATTATTCATCATTCATGCATGGAAATACAACTGATTTTATGCCCTGAAACTTTTCTAAATTTATGAATTAGCTCTAACAATTTTTTTGGTGGACTTTTAGAGTCATCTACACATAAGATCATGTCACCTCTGCATAGAGATAATTTTACTTTTCCTTTCCAATATTGTTGCCTTTTACTTATTTTTTTCTTGCCTAATTTCTCTGGCTAGACCTTCTAATACTGTATTGAATAGAAGTGTCAAAAGCAAGGATCCTTGTCTTGTTTCTAATTTTAAATCTTTTACCATTGAATATGATATTAGTTATGTGTTTTTTAGATATGTATATCTGGCCTTTATCATATTGAGGAAGTGCATTCTATTTCTAGTTTCTTGAGTGCTTTTATCATGAAAGAGTGTTAATTTTGTCAAATGTTTGTCTGCATTAATTTTGAATGGTATATCACATTGATTTTCATATGTTAAACCAACCTTGCATTCCTGGGATAAAACCCATCTAGTCATGGTGTATACTCCTTCTAATATGCTACTGAGTTCATTTTGCTAATATATTTTTTCTTCTTTTTGCTAATATTTTATTGAAGTTTTTGCCATCAATAGTTATCAGGGGTATTAATCTGTAATTTTCTTGTGTTGTATTTATCTGGTTTTGGTATCAGGATAATGCTGGCCACATAGATTGAGTTAGGAAGTATTCCCACCTCTTCAACTTTTAGAAGAGTTTAAGAAAGATTGGTGTTCTTTCTTTTTTAGATGGTAGATTCACCAGTGAAGTCATCTGGTCCTGGGCTTTTCCTTTTTGAGAGGTTTTTGATTACTGATTCAATTTCACTACTGTTATAGGTCTATTCAGAGTTTCTGTTTCTTCTTGAGTGAGTTATGGTA